AGAGAAATAGGGAAGCTTTCGTATAACAACTACTATTAAAAACAAATATTTAAAACAAAGAAAAAAAAAAAGAAAGGTTTCCCAGCAGGAAGCACATTGCATGTGGTTCTATTATAGGACTTTCACTGTTGAATCTGTCAGAATAAACATCTGCCTTCAAAAGAATAAAAATGCTTTGCAGTAAACGGTCATTAATGTTAACAGTTTGGTAAATCATATCCTATACAACTGTATATGAAGCACAGAACCTGCTTTTCATAAACATTTCAAAATGCAAAGACAGTATTACCTTAAGCAGCACAACTAGTGTTTTCTGCTGCCCACATGATATTAAGCTTTAGACTGGACTAATTAATTGCACTCTCCATAACAGCTAAATATACAGCTTTTTGAACAATGACTGTAAAAAGATTAGGAAAATTTTTGGTTTTCGTCAGAAGTACACTCTGAATACATTTTATTCATAAGTAGCTAAGCCAAAACATACATTTATTTAAAAAGCAAATTTTAAAAATGGATTTGGATAGGTTTCTCTTCTGTTCAAGGACAAAAAGCTATGAGATATTCTGTGCAAATGTGCAGAGTATGTGCATTGAACAAGAGAACGAAAAACTGAATGTGAAAGAAAATTCCAGCTTCCTAAGAAATCCCTCTGTAACATCTAATTAATTATTTAATAAATATATCTGTTCAATTCCAGAAAGCTTCACTCTACAAGCAGGCTGGTAAGAGTTTTAGGACTTACATACGCAATTTCTAAGACAATAAAATTCAAATATGTTAATCAGATTTGAGCAGTAGATACTGAAGTATCAGCCTCCAAATAATAGTTTAAAAAAATAATATGGGGGGTTAAAAAGCTATTTTGATGTGCCTGATAGGCTTTATTTTATATTTCCTTTAGAAATTAATTCAGCATAGAAATTCTACTTAGGATCACTCAACAAGAACAACCTAGCAATTAGATCATGAAATACAGCCACCCTAGTTTCGTGCGTACATACATTATTTACCAGGAGATGCTTTCCCAAAAGCGTAATAGGGGCAGAAAGTGGCTGAGCGCAGACAGAAAAGGAATTCAGCAAATGAGGCAGGAAAACCTGCCCATCAATACCAGTAATGAGGAAACCAACACAAGAGGGTAGGTTTCATTTCCAACCCTGGGTCACAAACGTCCGTCAACCCAAACCAGGATTTATAAACTCAATCCAGCAGTTTGGCAGACAGGCAAGTAATTAAGCTTCACTTGTCTGGAACATGGTTTGGGTTGGTTTGGGCTGCAAAGCAGTTCTCTTCCTTACAATAACAGGTACTTTATACTTTTTACTTCTGACTTTATAAGGCAGATCTGCGCGTCGGTAAAGCACAAGACCTTCAGCAATTTTCCCAGAACCGTTATGTCTTAGGCTATGGAAATACCTTTAGCTTAGAAGAATGTAAAGCTTACACTGAGTACCACTTGATTTCAAATCTGTTTATTGCAAGTGATTAATTCAATCATGATTGATGCTAAACCAAATCAGGAAACTCAGTCTCACCACTATTTCAGATAAAATTACGTGGCCTCTGTACCCCTGGCTTTTCTATGGCAATAACAGTTGATCCCTTACAGAAGTGTTCTGATGCCCTCAGAAGAAAGTTACTGTCTAAAGGGCAAATCAGTACTATTCATTCTAAAATGCTAATAAATAGCATTACTTGTCAATGCTTCTATTATCAAACGGGAAAAACATATTCTTGAGCATCTCTAAAAATATGAAAGGATTTTTGTCAAATCTCCTTTACGGGGAGCACTGACAGCTCTCAGCACAGTAAGCCAAGCCTGATTTTTGCACTACATCTGCAATATCTTTTATACTTGGGCAGCTGGCACAAAGTGAGAAAATTCATTAACATGCTAATGATGTGTCCTATTTAAAATTCCAGCTCTGATTATTGTGTGATTAAGTCTCTTCCCTTGACGTCTGCTTCCTTATATCTGCATTACTGTGAGAAATCAACAGTTATTAATGAAGTAAAAAAATAGGTGATCAATTTACACACAAGACAAACATACACACATATTTTAGCATTTCAATTTCTTTGTTTAATGTTTTCTAGACAAAGTAGTATTACCTTCAGTTTAAAAAAAAAAAAGAAAAAACCCACAAGTTTTCAGGAAGTTCACAGGCACAAAAGGTAACTGTTTAAGTGCCAGATGACGTAAAAATGGCTACGTGTGGGTATACCTGTCAGAAGGTTTAAAGGTACTATATTAAAAAACAGAAGGAGGGCTCCTGATGCAGGAAAGAAGGTGATTATTCCCTGGAAACAACATGAAAGCAAGAATGAGAGCAGACAACAGCTCCAGTCAATTCAATTACCTTTCCTGGAGAAAAATGAAGCATGTCCTTTCTACACCAAAAGGCATATAAACCCACTAACTTATTTAAACTAGCATAAACCTTCAAAGACAAGATGACTGAGGGACCTCTTTCTCTATATTACTTTCGGTAACCTATGTTTAGTTTATGGATGGACGTCTGTTTCATAAAGAGTTTAGCCAAAGCGTAGCACAACTGTGCCACAAGAAGGAATCACAGGTACATCCCTGCCGCATGCCTGGACACAGATCAGTCAGCCTAGCCCAGATCATTTTTGCTGTTTAAATTAGCATGGCTAATTTGGCCTGAAGGGCTCCCTAATGAACTCCAGGCAGAGAGATAGTAAAAAAAGCTGGAGGACAGTAACATCCCTCAGTTAGTAGTTAGATGGAGAAAGGATTTCCCTCCCTGAATCTTAGCTGTAGAGGGAAAAGACAACCAGGAATGGGAGGCACCAAGCAATGGGACCAGCCACTCACACTGATGTAACCCACAGCACAGCTGAGCCCATGCTCAAGCAGCAGAAGCATTCTAGGAGCTGTTTTCCTGCCAGACTACACTCTCCCAAAATTACAGTGTCACCAACAACAATAGGTCAACACATTCCCCATCACAATCCCCCACCCCTGCCATGTCCCATACGCCAATGCCAGCACTCCCACCACATGCTGGTGTGTCTCAGGGGTGTGCTAACACCCTGCTCTGGTACAACACTGAGGCTGGCTCATGGGATGGGGCAGGAACAGGAGGAAAAGGCAAAATCATGTGTCTCGGCAGCAACACGGATTTTACCAGCTTAAATGGACCACAAAACCTGGGGCTACCCTGATGCAAATCACACCTTTCACAGCACAGACAAAGCCAAACCAATTATCTCTCGTTCTTTTGAAAAACAGCAAGAACAAATGGTAACAAAATCATATTCCAATTGTTTATGCTTTATTCCCCATACATGAAAGCACTGTACAAAACAACAACTGCTCTGTAAAAGTGGATGCCATCTTTAAGATGCAATCTGTTCGCTATTGTCCAGGGACTATCAGGAGGCTTTTATTCAATTAAACGTATTGGTATCAAACTCATGCTAGTGTTCTCAAACCTAACTGAGTTTCCATTTGTTAAAGAAGAAAACGGTGTATATTACATGCTAGGGGGCAGGGATGAGGAAAAGGGAAGATCTCAGTTTTCAATTTATGTGTCTCTGACTAGTTTGTGCTTGATAGAGTTTTATTTTACACAACAATAAATTTCTTCTTATGCCTACAGAATCACAACTAATTAAAAGAACAATCCACATAGCAAACACACAGTGGTTTGCAATTTATTGTCATAAATTATAGGACAGGAGAGGTCAGACCAAGACAACACCTCATTACAGCTGCATAAATGCAAAAGGGAAAAAAAAGAATCTGTGAAATGCAACCAATTCTGTTGCTTCAGCAACAGTCTTGCACAGGTTTTGTTTAAAACCCTGCTGAAGAAAAATACAAATGAGAAGTGTATATGTATTATAGGAAGTTTAATTGTCCTAGAAACAAAGGAGCAAAAAAATGGACGGATTGCAAGGTTACAACCCCCTTCAACTTACCTAAAAATACAAGCCATGAGGAAGTATTGCCTGATGTGGGTTTGAATCACTCAGCTTAGGTAAGAATGCACTACTTCAAGGAATCATTTTTTAATTTTTAATTTAAGTTCCTATCTAGTAGAGTGTATGTATATGTATTTTCCTCTATGCATTTTTAAAATATTGTCTTAGACTTATTCCATTGCTTACAAAACTTTTTTTTTCTGAAATAGCTCTTGCCTATTCACTTGCTTATGAAGAAACTTCATATACTTTTAAAACAGAGGCATTTTCCTCTCTTCAATGGACCTACTGCTCCTAAGATCCTGAAAAAGGAAAGACATTTCAAACCCCTAGAGCTTTAAAGTAGCTCTCAAATTTATACTTAGCTGTTTAGAGGTAATGATAGTAACTGCACATTTGTAATCAATTAAATTTTATTCAGCCTTTCATTTAATCAAACATCAAGGCCACTTTATCAACTTAACTTCAGGAGAGGATACAGCAGACCCACTACAACCCAAGAACACTGCTTAGAGTTATGCGTGAACTGTGTTTGGCAAACTGTTTAACTGCCCCCCTCAAGCATAAATTCAGGAAGAGAACTCTTGCCTTCAGAACTAGGAGTCCCTTGTACCTCATAAGTTCAGACTCATCACCAAATGTTATATATACCAAATACTTAGTTATATATACTAAACATGGTTCTATTGTCACAGAAAACTGCGTATGCTGTTTCTACATACATATAGACTACATATATTTCTCTGTATGTAAATAAATGCACAGTACCATCATCATTATTACAAAAATGGGATTAAAAAAGAAAGTTTTTGACAACTGGGCTAAGACAGATTAAAAAGTTGTATATTGCTGGGATATCCCTTCTCCCCCTCAGTCTCCCCCACTCTCAGTGGAAGCAGCTGAGAAATATTCAGCATATTGCTTATATAGGTCCCAGCCAAACTTTCCTCAGAAAAATCAGTGTTTCATGAAATGCAGGATGGTTTATCAAACCCAATAGACTTCTAGGCACTCATGACTGAGCAAAAGCTCTAACAGTTTGTGAATTACTTACCAAAGGCAGCCTCTCCTTGTTCAAGTTCTTGTTTAAGTCTGGTGTAGTCATCTTTAATTCTTTCTAATTTTCGGACATTTCTGGCACTCAGAACCAGCAGTTCATTGAGAAGTCCTTCCAGCCCCTCCTTCTCAGACGTTAATGATCTTATTTCTTCTGTCAGATCCTTTGCAGTCCCGAAATTACTTCCTACATGTTTTGTGGGGGTAGGAGGAAAAGGGAAGGAAGAGACAATGAGGCAGGCTCTTGCAACACCAGTAGGTTACAAAGCAAACAAGGGAAATGAAGCAACCATCCTTCCCAACAGCAACTAAAAGACTCATTTTTGGGGGGAAAACACAAATGAAACTGCCTTGCAAGCATTCATTTCATTAACATACTGCAAAAAGAATCATAATTGTAACACATTTAACCTTATACACACAGAAATAATATTTTTTTACTAATATTATTATTGATACAATTTAGATTTTTTGGAGACATAGTTTTTGTGAGGTCCATGCTTCAGAAAGTGTTATACTGTAATTTACTGATCACTGTGCTGTGATCTGTCAGACCATTTTCTTGTTTTGGAGGACACCTCAACTCACAATAGTTTTTAAATAGATGCTACCAATTTGCTGCATCCTGAAGTACTTCCTCCTTGAACAAAGAAGCGCTGTGCCATTGTCCATAACAAGCACAGAAGGCTGTTTATAAATGACAGGTTGCATTTCTTAAATAGCATCTACCCAGTGCAAAGACCATCAGGAGATGTTCTTTTTAGAGAATATATTTAAAAGTCAAAACTGTCAACTTGTGGCTCTCCCTGAAGCATGAAGCCTCAGAGATGGGCAGAATACCTCAGTATCACCAGCTCACACTGCTCTGGAGTTTTTAAAAAAATATTTGGCTCCTTTGGACAGGGATCCAGAGCCAAAAGCTCAGTTCCCAACTGGTTTACAGCATGGTCTAGTAACGCTTGCCCACTTAACCGTTCTTAAAACCGTTTTTATAAGAAAGTGGAGAGGAATGTTTCCTTTCTTCACAGAGAAGTCTAAACACACAATGACAGTGAGATGCTCAGCTATTACATGATTCTTAAGTAACAGTAGAGTAACCATTACAGTGCTACATTTATACTGCTGTACCTCTGTCTTTTCAATGATTCAGCCACTTGTCTGGAAAAAAAACCAAAAAACAAAAAACAAAACCAACATAAAAACCTACCCAAAAAAATTGCAATCTAAAGAATACTTGACAAAAATAATTTCCATCTAGACTTTGCCCAATACAACACAAAAGATCTCTAGCACAGGATCTAAACTGTAGCATCATCCTAACTTAGCAAAAATTTGGTGGTTTGATCTAATAAGTAAAGGCATCTAGGAAGTAAATGCAATTAGAAAATTTAGCCTTGAAGCAAATATTAATGTAAAGCACATGCAGTCACACGTACAAGATGTCTCATCGGCTTCTGAAGTATGTGCAATGACTTCAGACTCCTGAAATAACTTTATAATACTACCAGCATTATTCAGATATAAAGGAGTCCTTTGGCCTTTTTTTTCTTTCAGGAATCCAATAAACTATTGCTTATACACAACAGATCAATTAAAAAAACTATTTTTGAAAATCAGGACATAATCCAAAACATCAAATCCACATCACAGTATCCTAAATTGTGGCATTACATCCTTTTTACCTGGTGTCTCAAAAGTGTCAGTCATAAAGTCTGAAACAGGAATGGTTTGGGAGCTGTTCAATTCCATCAGGACAGGGGAGCCAGAATTGGACACAAGTATTTACACTGGTCAGAATATGACAAACCACCACCAGCTGCTGAGAGCGGATCTATTCCTCCAGAACATAAGAGTGAACGGAAGGACTTCCAGTGAATAATTACTGCCATCCTTCTGGAGGAAAGATGTTGCAAACTCAAGTGCCTGTGTGAGGACATGTGTGCCAAAAGGAGACCGTGCTTTCAAAAAATTTGGAAAAGATTGTACCAAATAAGTCAGGTTTAACAACTGAACATCGCTAAGTATGGTAGTCTCGTTTAGTGCAGGCTTTTTTTTAAAAAAAAAAAATTCTGAGGCTACAGTAGTTTCAGTCAACCTTTTTCTTTGCTTAAAGCTGACCTTTTTTTGTTTCTTTTTAAGAGTTCAAAACTCCCCTATTTCTATTTCTCAGCTAAAACCCCATTTTCCAGTTCTATCTTATAAAGAATTATACAATTAAGTAACTATAAATATGCTTTACACGTACTAGCATCTTATGGCTTACCAGTGCATTTATTGGGAAACAATAGCACAAATTTTATTATCTTGATCTGTCATATGTTTTCAAGTGGGCAAAACATGGCAGCAAGATAAGCAAGTCAAAAATCATTGGAAAAATGAAAGGTGTTCAGACACTTCTAAGGCAACAAGACTTAAACAGTGCTCCTTTACTGCACCTGAACTCATTCGAAGCATCAACGCACAAGAGCCTTAATAAAACATGAAGGCAAGAGATTCTTCATTAGAATCTAGAGCCTGCTCTTACATTTCAGAAGGCAGCAAGGAAAAAGGTATGATATTACATATAAAAGTTTTATACATATTGAATGGATCTTAATTCCCAGAGGGGAAGTTCATATCAAAATTGAGGCTATGAGGAAAAGGTGTCAGATATATATACCCCAAAGCCAAAACTGCCTGATGCAGCTCCTCCTGACAGCAGAAACGTCTGGAAGTCTGCAGCAAAAAGTCAGAAGAGCTTATACAAACTCATGCAGCACAAGTGCCATCAGTGACCTCAATCACAGCAAATAAAATAACTGCTGTCTAAAAGCCATAAGAAGGTTGATTTAAAAATTAATCCCTAGCTGCCAGCATTAAAAAACATGCCCTCCTGGGGTTTTTTGTTTGTTAAGAGACAAAGTCACATTGGATGCTGTAGAAACATTCGGAAGATATGTGTCAAAATATTTTGTTCTGCTAATATCCTGAAGATGTTAATCTTTTATTTTTTTTAATGAAAAAATAATTATTTTGCTTAAGTAAACACAATAACTCTTACTTTGTCAGCCACTCATCAGAGCTATGTTTTATATAGTCATTCTGCTGGGAGAGTTCTAGTTTGGTGACATTAGATAAAGTCAGTCCTAACTCTTCTCAGGAAACTGAAAAAACATCATTGAAGATAACAGGACTGCTCACTCAGAACATCTGTACACAGACAAAAAAACCCAAGGAATTAGTAGTCTAAGACCAAAGCTGAGCTTCTGATCTAATCAAGACATGAGACAGAGATTCTATGAAGGGGACTGAAGGGCAAAATTCCACTTTTCCCATCCTTCCTCCTGTCTCACAGTGACACTTACTAGCAACGTGCAATTTTAGTCATTGCATACATGTTCGTATAAACACACTGGGTGCAAACTGGCACACCAAATGGGGAAACCCACAAATTCAGAAAACGGCCAGGCTAGTTGCTCTATCAGAATCTTAAATCTATTCCATTTTAACTTGAATAAATACAGGGTATTGACAGTGCTTGGATAAAATGGCAGGACCGGTGGGGAGGGGAAGAATAACCATGTGAAGGTGGGATTATAATAAAATCTGAAGTCATTTGACATGAATTTGGTGAAACTGATTATATTTCTAGAAGACCAACACTGGAAAGTTGTAATTTTACTTTCCAGCTAATTAGAAGTATCTAGTGCTCTGAACAGGTTGAGTAACATGCATGTGTTACACTGTTTTAAGGAGCTGAGTTATGTAGTACATACACTTGGCTTTGAGGGACCGAACCTTACCATTTTCTCAAAAGACAGCAACAAAAACCTAGTTTAAACTTCCTCCTTAATTCTGCCCTCTGGAGCTCTCTACTCATATATATCCTTCATCCCCTGCTCTCCACAGATAATAACATCAGGTAAGCTCCAACAGCTTGATATGAAGGTCAAAAGTACCAGCGAAATCAAGCAAAACCATCCCAAGTGCAAAAATAAAATAAAAAAAGAGTTCACCCCAGGCACAACGTAGTTACATAATTGCTTTTACTTGCTGTAAACATAAATAGCATATTTACCTATTTTCTGCTTTTCCCAAAATTTTATTTGTATGGCTACATAGTACAGCTAAATAGCGCTCCGCATATTAAGTACATTTTCTCTATACATAGATACATGCAACAAACTCATGTCCATTATAACAACTCATTGTCAGATTTTACTATATTGGGCAGATTGTTGCCCATTTAGTAGCCCCAAACTAACATACCATTATTTTGGTACCATTTGCCAGCAACAAATTGACTGTATCAAACCATAAAAGTAAGGTTTGAAATCAGTCCCATTTGTAAATCAACAAATGCGTTAATATTTAAGCTTTGTTAAATATTCCCCCTTCAAAATAGAAGACAGAGTTAATGGCCCACAACTTTTTTACTCCCACTTTTTCTCACATTTATGCCAGAAATTGCATAAGCTCAGAGTTTCCGTTATCCATACTTGAATCTGAGAGGTATGTCCCATCCCTGCTGAAACTATCTTCATTCATTGTGATACAAGTAAAGGAGCAATTTTTGCATAACAGTAAAGCATACATACTGGACATTGCCTTGAGTGTAGGAAAAAATAGACTGGTCGTTATTTATCATTATGTCTGAGCTAATTCTTTGTAGACTAACGCTACCTTTAATAATACATAAGAAAGCGAAAATTTACAGGTTAGCTTAAAAATTTACAGTTTAGCTTAGGGCATTTGCGACCATGGTATTTATCAATGGCACTGGGATTCAAGGCTGAAAATCCTTGAATCCCTGTGATTAATGAGAATACAAACTCATTCCAACACCAGAAAAGAAACTGAAGAAAATAAATATCATTCAGCTGCACACAAAGAAAAGAGAAAAAGCTAAAAACATGACAGAGATGTAAGATTTTTGAAGCACTGCCAGTGTGTTTGCACCTCTGAAAAACAAATAGCAAATGGGGGACAGTCTATCGTCTCCTGAAACATTTTACAGAATTCCAGCATATTTGAATAACAATTATTGCTTTTAAGCAATAACAGGTGCCAAAATTTTTATGAAGCATAATGTAACTGAATGATTGATGTGATCCTGAAATGTAAAGTAAGAAAATCCATCAAGAAGCAGGCAAAAGACCCCACAGACATACATTTAGAGGAGGATTTCTGTGCCACGGAAAGCCTCTC